TAAGTTGACTTGCGAACACTAAGATGCGAGGCTGCTGCTAATGCTGGTGTTTCTGGTGGTGTAGGACGTAAGTTGACCTGCGAACACTGAGATGCGAAGCTGCTGCTAATGTTGGTGTGTCTGGTGGTGTAGGACGTAAGTTGACCTGCGAACACTAAGCTTAATGCAAAGCTGCTGCTAATGCTGGTGTCTGGTGGTGAAGCCTGTGAGTTGACCTGCGAACACTAAGATGTGAGGCTGCTACTAATGCTGGTGTGTCTGGTGGTGTAGCTTGTAAGTTAACCTGCGAACACTAAGATGCAAGGCTGCTGCTAATTCTAGTGTGTCTGGTGGTGTAGTTTGTAAGTTAACCTGCGAACACTGAGATAAGAGACTGCTGCTAATGCTGGTGTGTCTGGTGGTGTAGGGCGTAAGTTGACATGCGAACACTAAGATGCGAGACTGCTGCTAATGCTAGTGTGTCTGGTGGTGTAGCCTGTAAGTTGACTTGTGAACACTAAGATGTGAGGCTGGTGCTAATGCTAGTGTGTCTGGTGGTGTAGCTTGTAAGTTAACCTGCGAACACTAAGATGCAAAGTTGCTGCTAATGCTGTTGTGTCTGGTGGTGTAGGGCGTAAGTTGACCTGCGAACACTGAGATGTGAGGCTGCTGCTAATGCTGGTGTGTCTGGTGGTGCAGGGCGTAAGTTTACCTGCGAACACTGACAAAGCTGCTGCTAATGCTGGTGTCTCTGGTGGTGTAGCACGTAAGTTGACCTGCGAACACTGAGATGCGAGGCTGCTACTAATGCTGTTGTGCCTGGTGGTGTAGGATGTAAGTTAACCTGCAAACACTAAGATGTGAGGCTGCTGCTAATGCTGGCGTGTCTGGTGGTGTAGGATGTAAGTTGACCTACGAACACTAAGATGCAAGGCTGCTGCTAATGCTGTTGTGTCTGATGTAGTTCGTAAGTTGACCTGCGAACACTGAGATACGAGGCTGCTGCTAATGCTAGTGTGTCTGGTGGTGTAGGGCGTGAGTTGACCTGCGAACACTGAGATGCGAGGCTGCTGCTAATGCTGGTGTGTCTGGTGGTGTAGCAGGTAAGTTGACCTCCGGATTACTCCTTTATGTGAACGCTAGGGTTGATAATAATTTGAAAGTAGTACAACAATTGGTTTCTCAACTTCGACAATGTCTTTGCACACAACCTTCTCTCAGGTCTACCATTACGTCCGCTACCTGCTACGGTTTACTCTTGTCCCTGCTGCAGCGCGATTGTGGATGAAGCTCATACACATGCTACTTACAACGCTAGTCTTTCTGATATACATACTTCTGCAGAAAGCTGTTCGATCTGCAAATTGCTCCTCCAAGCATTTCAGCACTGCCGCAATGATGATGACGGAAATATCGTTACAAAGCGAACACGGTTGGCACTTAGAGCAGAAGCAGGAGGCCCGCGTCTTCTGCGGTTTTGTACAGACCCACGTCAGTGCCCACGACCCCTCTTATACACTGGACAGAAACAATACTTATTGCATATCCTTGTCACAGAATACGCTGTTCATACTGAGTCTAGCGCCCCAATTGGCCTCCCAATCCTACCTGAACCTGATAGCCCTGCACGATTTTCACTGCTCCGCGCATGGCTTCGTTGGTGTGACGAGTCCCACGGTTGTAACGAGTACCAAGGTGAATCCAAGAGAACACTGCCGACGAGAGTCCTCTACGTTGGTGATCTAAAGGATTCAGGTTATGCTTCAGATTTTGTGCGTCTGGTTTGTGCCTCGGAAACAAGCAGGCAAGAATACGTCGCATTGTCTCACTGCTGGGGCAACCTCCCAGTCGAAAAGAAGAAAGCGCATTGTACAACCCAGGATAATATTGGCCAACGGTTGGAAGGATTCAGTCTCTCTGAACTACCGAAGACTTTCCAAGACGCTGTTAAAGTGACCCGAGAAATTGGCGTTCTATATCTCTGGATCGACTCACTCTGCATCATCCAATACGGGGATAACGGTGAGGACTGGAAATGTGAATCTGGCCAAATGGAACGCGTCTTTTCGCACGCTTACTGCACAATCGCTGCAACTGCGGCTGTTGACTCCAACGCAGGGTTCCTTAGGCGGGGCGTGAACCCTGGGTATGTCCATGTTCAAGATGCCTCAGGCAAGCAATTCTACATCAGCGCTGATATAGATGATTTCGACAATGATGTAGGCAAGGCTCAGCTTAACACGCGAGCATGGGTATTGCAAGAGGGGGTTTTAGCACGACGAACTATCCACTTCAGCGCCAATCAGATGTACTGGGAATGTGGGGAAGGGGTTTACTGCGAAAACCTTACTAGGCTGGAAAGGTACGAGCTCTACAACACCTGAGTTGAAACTCTCCTGACTAGGCATTTTCCTCCTAAGCCCCTATAGGGATAAGTACTTCATGCTCGATCCAGACTTCCCGAGCCGGCTCCTTAATTCAGGCATTCGACGTATCCTAAACTGCATCTCCTTTATTTTCCAGGATTACTCGAAGCGGAACCTTACAGTCTCGACTGACAGATGTATTGCCATATCTGGACTGGAGGATCGTATCGCAGGCGCCTTAAAGTGTCAAAGCAGATATGGCATCTTACAGAAGTACCTTCACAGGAACCTCCTCTGGCAGGCATCTAACGACAAGATGAAGGAGATTGTGTACGACCATCATGTGCCATCTTGGTCATGGATGGCATATAGTGGAGGCATTCAGTTCATGGACATCCCCTTGGGCAAAGTTGATTGGATTGATCACCTCTGGTTCGATGAGGAGTGCGAATGCGACCATGCCATAATCTCCAACCTATGGACATTTCAGAACTGTACGATGGGACTCTATGAGGCACAGTATGCAGTCTTGGATTCTGATGGAGCGAAAAGAGGGTGGATACAGTATGACGGTAAGGGCGGTAAAGATCTTCACAAAGAACAATGTGTTGTTGTAGGAAGGAAGAGCAATAGAGATATTGAGGAGTACTATGTACTAGTCGTCAGGCCGACTAGTGTGGATGGCGAGTACAGGAGGGCTGGTGTTGGGTTGATTCAGAGTGACTGCGTGGTGGTACAGAGGATCAACATACGAGTCGTGTAACGTACGAGTCGTGTGAACGACGTTTACGTATATACTTCACTTCGTCTACCTGTATAGCGTTTGACTGTGGAAAAGCTCACCGTAAAGGCTGCTGCGCTAAAACAAATCTTAAAAGGTCTGCCAAAGGCTTGGGCGATGATTTATTGACCCACATCCTCCTTACACGAAACGGGTTTAGTGGCAACATAATTAGCGGTACTTGCAAGCAGACAATTGACGCATAAGATACTTCAGCTCGCCACCACTACAGTGAGGATGGCCGAACCGCACCGGCTACACCCTTGTGAGGTGGCGAATTCTGTAGGTGTCTTCAGAGAGTTAAGTTGGTTGACCGGAGGCATTGGCAAAGGTTAAGTGGGGACCGCAAGGCTGCGGGGCTAAGGTCGGTTCGCCCGCCAAGCTTCCGCACAGCCACAAGTCTAACAGCCACTGTAAGTAAATTACACCACGATGATTATGTAGGTACCAGGTTGTTTTGCACTAGCTAGGATTAGTAATTGCTTTAATTAGGAGTACTAACTAGTGTAAGACCGAGATGGCGCTTACGTGTAAGGACGGAGCTCTGTACCACTACGCCAATACAACCAAAAAGGTGCGAATAATCAACCAACGTTAATTATTGCGTACAGAATAGTATATATACCCGTCGCACGTAAGCACCATCTCGGCCTTACATTATCCCCCTTCTTAGCAGACGCATGTCCCAGGCGTCACATGACCTACCCGCAGCTCAGAGGCGCCTATGCGCATGTCTCGGTTACCGGCCAGAGGCTGACCACCTGCGGCCCAGAGGCGCGGGATAAACACGACGCAACGCTCAGTGGCCCACGCCAGCTAAGCTATATACACTAGACCTCCCAGCAGCAACAACGTGGCGCCAGAAGAGGCCGCCTCACGTTTCAGTCTAAAAACTGGCAAAGCTGTCTAAGGTGTGGGTTAAACGCGCGACTGTCCTTGTTGTTAGTTAATTATTATGTAAGGACAGAGCTCTGTACCACTACGCTAATACAACTAAAAAGGTGCGAATAATTAACTAACGTTAATTATTGTGTACAGAATAGTATATATACCTGTCGCACGTAAGCACCATCTCGGCCTTACATTACGTGCGACGGGTATATATACTATTCTGTACGCAGAATTAACTGTTAACTAGTTGATTATTCGCACCTTTTTAGTTGTATTGGCGCAGTGGTACAGAGCTCCGTCCTTACAACTAGGGGTAGCAATCTTGCATAAATTTGCGCGCGATAGAAGGCACAAGGCTAATAATAACTTACTAGCATTAGAGTAGAGTTCTAATAGTTAAATAAGACCCTTTTACAAGAATTTAGAGTAGTAAGAGAAAGTCTAATACGATACAGAAGAAAACTCTTTGCAAATTAAGCCTAAAGGTGACAATGCAAACGTAATTTAGAAGTAGAAGGTATCCTAAATATTTAAAATTCACTATAGTATACAACTTGTAAAGAAATATAGCTGTAACAGCACAGGCAAGACAATAGGTCTAAATGCGGTATAAATCCACTTAGAGGCATATAGAAGTGTGTAGAGACTTAGAAACCTAGGAATGCTATTAACACCTATAGGTCTTGTACAAAAGAATATTAGAAAACTACTAGGCTAGCTATAGAGGAGAAGTACAACTAAATACGTAGAGGGATAGAGGCATAGCAAAGGCTAAGGCAGGTTAAAGCAGATAACGTACTTCACAGGCAAGTTGCTTACACACCTAAGTTGCTTACTTTTGCTAAGACCCTACTAAACTACCCTTTTTATACTAATGCATTCCCTACAACACTACTTAGACATGCTAAAAGAATGTTAGATATAGCTTACACTCTAAGCTTTTAAACAAGACATAAAACTCTTAAAGAAATGTGCTATAGCTATATATAAAGTTTTATAAAAAATAATAAATAACTATAGTGCTAGACAACCTTTATAAGCTAATTCTACAGCTAAATTATAAAGGCTAAGTAATAAAAAAAAGTAGGTAATTATTAAGACTATACTTAAGCTATATACACAAAAAATTTCCTTTTAAATAGCATTTATAGCTAATATAGCTAATTCTTTGTGCGCTAAGCATAATCTAGGCTATGTTTATATAAACTAGCCTAGTATGTTTATAAAGCATTATTTAGAGCTTAAAGTAACATTTAAGTGTAAGTATAACTATAAAAAAGCTTTTTATAAAAGTTCTAGAGTAATTTAGAGTAGGTTTAGCCTTATAGAGAATATTAAAGCTAAGTATAGCATCTAGAATAATAACATGTATAACTTTAGTAAAATAAAGTTTATAATTAGCTAAATATTTTTTAACTATACTTACACTTAAAACTTTACTTTAAGCTTTAAATAACACTTTACAAACATACTAGGCTAGTTTATGTAAACATAGCCTAGATTATGCTTAGCGTGTAAAAAATTAGCTATATTAGCTATAAATGCTATCTAAGGGGAAATTTCTTGCGTATATAGCTTAAGTATAGTCTTAATAATTACCTACTTTTTTTTATTACTTAGCCTTTATAATTTAGCTGTAAAATTAGCTTATAAAGGTTATCTAGTGCTATAGTTATTTATTATTTTTTATAAGACTTTATATATAGCTACAGCATATTTTTTTAAGAGTTTTATGTTTTGTTTAAAATCTTAGAGTGTAAGCTGTATCTAACATTCTTTTTGTAACGATTCTACGAATTGTTCTATATCAGGTCGCTCGGATCCTATCTGAAGGGTCCCTGTATTGGTGTTACAATCCTTGCTTTGAGAAGCACTCGGGTCTTGTGGTATTCCTACGGGGGGGGGAAGTAGGACGGAAGGTAGGGGCCAACCGGTAGGGTGTACAGTCCTACGTACAGGCTATTAGGCTAATGGAGGCTTATGTAGAATGACTAGATTGTGGTTTGCCCTATGTGCGGCAGTAGGGAGGCTGGGGTTAAACAGTCCTAATAGACAGGGTTAGAGGTATATATAGTGTAAGATATACAAATAGTATTACAGCTCTTTAGAAAGCTAAATGCTACTTAGTCTATGTAATAAATAAACTAAACATTAAACACACCCTCTAAAGGTGGTTTAAGGTGGGAACTATATACATGTGCTAGGGCGCTAAGGGGAGCTAGTAGGAGTTTGTAGGAGTTTACTAAGGAGACTTCTGCAGGCTCTTTTAAGCTCCCTTAAGCTCTCTAAATTTGCAGCCTGTCTCCTTATTAAACAACACATTTTTCTATAACTTTAGGCAGCTGTGCTGCTTCTGTGTCCTCTAATTAGCCTGTAAGCAAGCCCTGTCCTAACCTAACTAGACTGTGGAGCACTACTAGTAGAGTTACGCTAGTCTAACTGTAGACTATAACACGCTGCCCCTTCTTCCTAGCAGCGTCCTTACTGCTCTGCTTACATAATTGTGTTAGTAAGAGTTTATTTATAAAGTGTGTGTCTACCTGCTAGAAGGCGTCCTTAACATTTATTCTTTTTATACTAAATAGCTTATTAGTCTTGTTTATCTTATTATTTTTATGTTACTTTTTATTTTAATCTTTTTTGCTAGATAAAGATAAGGCCCTATAGCGCTTACTAGTTTTTAGAGTTGTTATGTGTGTTAACACTATCCTTAGATAACTACATTAAGTGTGTAAAAAAGCATAGTAAGTGTAATGCTTTTATTTCTAATGCTGCCTAAGATTACCTAGAGAAAGAGAAGAAAGCGCTTCTTTAAAAGGCCTCTATTATAAAAGCTTAAGAGCGTGCCTTACTAAAAAAGCAGCTAGCCTGTAAGCGCCTTCTACTAAAAGAACAGCAGGCTTAGGACTAGAAGCAGCTTTGCTTACAAAAGAAGATACTAGGGGTAATAGATAAGAAGTGTTCTAAACAGGATTATATCTAAAAGTTATTAGATCTGTTAGAGGCCTGTTATGTAAAGTACTTAAAAAAAAACCTCTTCTTCTTAGATAAAATAAAAGCCCTTAAGGCTAAAGTAAAAGGCTGTTCCTTTTTTTAACCCTTATTAGCTAAGACTTATCTCTAAAGGCTACTGCTATCTAGTAATAACATAGCTGTTCCTTTTAATATAGGTGCCTTATTGCCTAGCTAGTTTCTTTTAAACAAGCCTAAAAGTACTTTTATACTAACAGCTGCGCATTTTTTAAATTCTTAGCTAGTTTCTATGTATTTTTACTAGTAAGCTACTTTTTTTATTTTACTAAAAACTTTTTTTAGTTTCTTTAATTACCTATAATATATTTAACTTTATATTCTATTTCCTTATTCTTTTATTCTTACATAGATAAAGGAATCTTTTTAAGTGCTTTTTCTAGTCTAGAGATGTAAAACTATAGGTAGATTTTTATATATAAGAGAAGCTTAAGCTTGCAGTTGTCTTACTAGGTTTATAAGACTTTATAAAGTTCTATTCTTTTTTTTACTAACTTTCTAGAAGGTCTAGGTATTTTAAGGTTCTTTATATTAAGGTACACATAGTCTCTTAGGTAGATTTCTAGTCCTAGCTGTTATAATTTGTTTGCGTACTTCTTTATTATTTCCCTACTAGATTTAGCTTCTACAGCTAACCTTTTATATATCTAATGTAGGTCTATTAGCTAATTTATAGACTCTTATAAGTCTATAAGTTAATTTCTATGTAACATAAAGTAAAGGTTATATTTAAAATTAGCTCTATATAGTGTTTCTTTTATTATAGCTAACTCTATGTTGTTAATAGCTAACTATGCTATTAAAAGCTATGCTGCCTAATTATCTTAAGTATAAGAAATGTACTTTCTTAGGTATTTCTTTACTTTTATGTTTGCTTTTTTAGTCTGTCTATCTGTCTACAGGTAGTAGGCTGTTAATAACTTATGTGTTATGCTAAAGTGCTGCATTACTACTTTTTAGAAACTGCTAGTAAATAGCTTATCTTAGTTAGAGATAATAATCTTAAAGCATCTATATACTAATATAACATTCTGTTTTAATTTATAAATAAATTTTTTAGC